GAGGGGAGAGGGTGAGGGGGGATGCGGGATGGGAGAGGGGGGGAATTCTGCATACTTTGAATGTAACAAAGCACGAACATGGCCATGATCATGACCAGGTGCATGGCTTGCCCAGTTATCATCTCAGGGCCAGCCCCCACTGATATTCTCTTGATGCTGACAAAGCACAACATGGTAGTTACTGAACAACATGCGTACATGACAAGCACGAACATGGCCATGATCATGACCAGGCCCCGCCATGCACGCACGGCCTCGAACCGGCACCCTCAGCCTCAAGAACGAAGTCTACTAACCACTACAACCCTTGGAGGTGTTTTTTTTTGGTTTCTTTTTTTTTTTTTTTTTTCCCGTGGAGGTGTTATTGAAACTGGATCAATACCGGTCGTGAAATCCAGCCCACCCCCAGGGCTGTGGTGTCCTTGAACTCACGCCACACACTCACAACACCACAGCACGGACAAGTCGTCACTTCTTTTGATGGAGGCTAAGAAGGCGGCGGGGTAGGGGGGTGTTGGGTGGTCATTCAATTTACAGACAGTCTCACAGGTGTAATTTTATGCCCTGCGTAATACTATACTTCTTGCACATTTGTCTTTCCCCTTTCTTGTTTGCTCTGTCGTTCTGAAGACGGAGGAAGAAGGAATTTAACCCACCACTACCTCCGAGCCTCTTGTGGCCGACGCGGAAAAGAACTGCACACCAAGCTTTCTTGAAGCGCCAGCGCGATGTCTGTTTTGTTTTTTTTTGGCTGGCGCCCCCGACCATCTCGGTCCAGTAGTTCTGTTCACCCGAAGAATGCGGTGTAGGCTATATGGGTGTTCAAGATTCCCCGTGAAAGGTAGCGGTGGTTTCAAGGAGAAACCAAGCCTTTGGAAATAAGGCGACTTAAATCACGAGTACTTTTGATCCTTCCCTTACCGAGCCTGGAAATGCCTCGCGCGCTAAAAAAAAACGAACTGGTGTGGGCCTCCTTTTGGCTGGCACGGCCATCGGTTTTGCTCCGGAGGCCGAGCCCCAAAAGTTGTGGCTGCATACATGCCGCATATTTGATTTCTTAGCAGGGAAACGTACAGATGGTTTAAAAAGGCACTCAATGTTTCTCATCATGTGGGAAAATGCTGGCATTTGCATCAATGGGGGTCTATCTGGCATGTGTGTGGTGGTGGTGGGGGGTTCCAACCCGCATCTCTCTCTCTCTCTCTCTCTCTCTCTCTCTCTCTCTCTCTCTCTCTCTCTCTCTCTCTCTCTCTCTCTCTCTCT